GGGATAGGGATAGGGATGGGGATAGGGATAGGGATGGGGAGAGGTTTGGGATTTGGGATAGGGATGGGGAGAGGGTTGGGGATAGGGATAGGGATGGGGAGAGGGTTGGGGATGGGGATAGGGATGGGGAGAGGGTTGGGGATAGGGATAGGGATGGGGAGAGGGTTGGGGATGGGGATAGGGATGGGATGGGGATAGGGATAGGGATGGAGAGAGGGTTGGGGATAGGGATAGGGATGGGGAGAGGGTTGGGATGGGGAGAGGGATGGGATGGGGATAGGGATAGGGATGGGGAGAGGGTTGGGGATAGGGATAGGGATGAGGATAGGGATCGGGATGGGGAGAGGGTTGGGGATGGGGATAGGGATGGGATGGGGATAGGGATAGGGATGGGGAGAGGGTTAGGGATAGGGAGAGGGATGGGGAGAGGGTTGGGGATAGGGATAGGGATGGGGATATGAATGGGGAGAGGGATGGGGAGAGGGTTGGGGATAGGGATAGGGATGGGGATAGGGATAGGGATTGGGATTGGGATGGGGATAGGAATAGGGATAGGGGTAGGGGTAGGGATAGGGATTGGGATAGGAGTGGGGATGGGGTTGCGGATAGGAATGAGGATGGGGATAGGATAGGATAGGGATGGGGATGGGGATGGGGATAGGGATAGGGATATGGATGGGGATAGGGATGGGGATAGGAATAGGGTTTGGATTGTGACAGGGACGGGGATGAGGATAGGAATGGGGATGGGGATGGGGATGGGGATGGGGATAGGAATAGAGATAGGTTTAAGGATGGGGACGGGAATGGAATAGGAATAGGGGTAGGTATAGAAACAGGTGATGAGGTGAAATGAGGTTAAACGTCGTGTCCAAGAGTATTGCACTTATATAGCGACGTGAATGCACGTGTATGTGTGTGTGGCTGCTTGTACTAGTCCTGTCTGATGCCGATTTATAGTGCTAGCAGACAAGGATGCCATGCCGCAGTTTAACATGAAAACCCCACTCAGACACGGTATACTGACTCCGAGGGGACCAGTCCTTGTTTTAGCCCCTTAATGCCGAGCGCCAGAAAGGGTAACTACTTCTTTTAACGTCTTTTGGTATGACACTGCTGGGGATCGAACCCCGGGATAAGGATAGGGTTACGGGTGTGGCTAAGGTTAGGAATAGGGACAGGGATAGGGATAGACATGGATATGGACAGGGATATGAACAGGGATAGGGATAGGGATAGGGTAACGGATGAGGATAGGAATAGGGATAGGGACAGAGATGAAAGAGAGGTAGGGATAGGATAAGGAATAGGCATAGGAATGGAGATAGTGAGTGGAATAGGGATAGGGACAAGGATACGGACAAGGATACTAATAGGTTTAGGGATAGGGATAGGGTTAGGGAAAGAGCTTTGGCTAGGGCTAGGGCTAGGGCTAGGGCTTGGGCTTGGGCTAGGAATAGGAATAGGAATAGGAATAGGGACAGGGACAAGGATAGAGATAGGGACAAGGATAGGGTTAGGGATGGGAATAAAGGTAGAGACATGGATAGGGATATGGATATGGTTACTTTTAGGGATACGAATAGGGACTGAGATAGGGATAGGGATAGGAATAGTGATAGGAATAGGAAAAGGGATAGGGACAGGAATGGGGATAGGGACATAATAAACAGTACCGATAGGGATCGAGTTAGGGTTACGGATAGGGATAGGGATAGGGACAAGGATAGTGACAGGTCAAGAATACAAACAGAGATAGGGATAGGGTTAGGAATGGGGATGGGGGTATGGATAAGGATAGGGACAGGGACAAGAATACGAATAGGGATAGGGATAGGTTAGGAATAGGGATAGGAATATAGACTTGAACTGATATAGTCAATACAGGGGCCGCTTCACGCTAGATATTTTACCCCCTTTGGCCCTCCTACTTTCGATCAACAAGATGAACGCCCACAACCTAATAGTGAGGGATACTCGAGCCAACAAGACAACAATTGGGCAAAATGTGGCTCTAGTATTGTATTGGTAAATAATGAATGGGGCTTCTGCACATGGTGTTTGACAGGTGACTCCAGTACTCTGTGCTTCTATTGAACATATTTGACTTCTATGTTAGGTAAATTTGTACGTGTAGAATAAAGTACTCGGCCTCGGTCATGATTGGAAAAGTAAGGACCTCAGTGCGAAGGAAGTGTAAAAGTCAGACCTCCCGCAGAGAGTGACGATGACTTTTTGTTTCGTTTCAAGGAACCTGGAGAGATGTTATGTCCGCCTTTATTAAAAGAATACAGGCTTCTTTGGTAAGATTTCTTTTGAAAAATGGTAAACAATGAATCGTTTGTAAAATGGTTTATATATATGTACTAATCAGCGTCGGTCGAAAAAAGGAATGAATGCAGTCATATATTATCCTAGTACTTTTGTTGTATATCAAGTCATGTTGTAAATATTCCAAGATGTTTATTTCTTTCACTGCAGTAAGGCAGCAGGCAAGGAAACTAATGCATTCTACTTCACAGCACTGAAGAAACTGTCTATATTACCACTCTAAATACTGAACTGTACAGTTTGGATAATGTATTTATGCAGCATGTATGTATAACTACTATTTAAATGCATTCTCACTTTGGAGGATTGGAATCTGTTGTAATAGATTGAATTTGGCTCTTCAGTTTAATACTTTATTTAATTGAATTTCAGGTCACTGCAGTGAAGCAGTTCGGGTGTACAAGAGGTCTTGTTGTGCGTTGTCCCCGACAGAAAGAGAAACGTTGATTCTGAACCAACTGCTCAAACTTCTGAACCAGAATCAAAAGTTTCTGTTAACTGTGGAAAATGCAAAGACAAGCAGCATTCGTTAACTATTAATTTCAACTGAAATAAAGAATTGTTGAAAAATTGGTTTATTTTTTGTTGTTGAAGGATTAAGAAAATCAGATATCTGAAACGGGCTCCGATTTCTCGAAACAAACTTGAGAATTCTTACTCAGAATTTTTCTGACTAAATTTCTCTACATGTTTCCAACACTAAAGTCTGATTTCAACCTATACTGTAACTTTGTACAAAATATCACACCGAAGCGTTCATGTGGTCTTAATATGCTATTGTCGTAAATCCGGTTTTGACTGAAAACTTGGTTTGTTTCGAAATCAGGGCAAGGTTTTACTTTAAACAGTAAGACCCGATAAGAGGTCTTACTTACAAAAGTAAGACCCGGTAATAAGTCTTACTTTCAAAAGTAAGACCTGCTACTGGGTCTTACTTTTAAGAAGTAAAACCTCCAACTCAGCAAGAGGTCATTACATGAAATTCGAGTACTTCCAGTATAATGGGACATATCAATGATATATTATTTTTTATATTGACAGGTAACTCAATTACTTTATTGTTATTGAGCGTACGTGCTTCTCTGTCAGATGCATTCATGAAGATAATGTCTATTCCCTTTGCATAACAATAAAAGGAACATATACTAGCCACATAAAGAAACTCTGCACGGAGAAAATATACTCTGGATTGAAATACAACACAGCAAGAACAAAATGATGCAGAGGCTGTAGCAGCTGAATGATCGGAACATAAGAAAATGTCAACGGGACCTGAACAACATCTGTTACGATGACGTCAGAAGATCAAAATGGAGTAGGGGGTCAAACGACAAAGTCACAAAGTCAATAACGGGTATGACCACCCTGTGCGTGAATCACAGCAGTGCATCGGCGACGCATCGAGTCCACCAAATGGGCATGGAAGGCCTAGAGAATGGCCTGCCATATCCTCCTCAAATCCTGTGCCAATCACGGACGTTATCTGGAGGATGTGGAAGACGACGCAGACGGCGCTCCATTTCATCCCACAAATGCTCTATTGGGGAGAGATCTGGAAAATTTGCAGCCCATGGCAGTAACATGACATTGTTATGGTGAAGGAAATCCATTGCGACCCTAGCCGTGTGAGGACGAGCGTTGTCCTGTTGAAATGTCAACCCCGGGCCATGACGTTGAAGGAAAGGAATGACCACAGGCCTCAGAATCTGATCTCTGTAGCCAACACCGGTGAGATTGCCCTGAACAACCACCAAAGGGGTTAGGTCCCGTGCTGTTATCCCACCCCAAATCATCACAGAGCCACCTCCAAAACGATTCCTCTCCACAATACAGTTGCGTGCATAACGTTCTCCCAAACGCCGGTAGACACTGTGGCGCCCGTCACTGTGGGAAATGTTGAACCTCGATTCATCTGTAAAGACAACATTTCTCCACCATATTCGAGGTTGGCGAACATGATTTCGACACCATCTTAGACGGTTGACTCGATGACGGTGTGTCAGGATGGGACGTATGGCAGGGCGTCGTGGTCGAATCCCGTACTGACGTAAACGATTCCTGACAGTGTTGGGATTGCTACGGCGCAGTCCAGGAATTGTCTGGGACGTCGTTACTGCCGTTTGGAACCTGTGTCGGAGATGTGTAACTCGAATCCATCAGTCCTGTCTTGGCGTCGTTACTCGGGGACGTCCTGAACGTGGGTGGTCGGCAACGTCATTTGTGTTCTGATAACGCCTCACCAATGCCGATATCATGTTAAGATGGCATTGGAAATGTGTTGCCACCTGTTGTTGCCTCATTCCCGCTCGGATCATTCCAATGGCTTCATGACTGTGCAACTGTCAATCTTGGCATGATTTGCTTGTGATATGCTTGTGACTGCGCCTGAGAAGTTTTGAATTTTTGAATGACCACAGATTATGCTTTCCAAAGTGACAGCGAATTTTGAGTTGCACATGCTGTGAACAGCTGCACAGGATGCACGTGCAGTGACACATTGTGACGTCATATGACGTCATATCGCATGGCACGTGCATAAGCGCTTGAATGTCTCCAATAATTGCTGTGTTCAAACCTATATTTCATATATGGACGGTGTGCCCTTATATCTATATTTTCTCCGTGCACAGTTCCTTTATGTGGCTAGTCTAGTTAATACATAAACTTACCTCCAAAATTCCCTTGATTTACCGATACTTCACGATCAAGAACACTGTCAGTGTAGTCTGCGCCTGCGCCGTACACTGAGCCAGGCACACCTCCTCGTCCCAGTTTATAAACACTGAGGAAACATAAGGTATCCAATCAACGTGAACTGATCACAGCCACAAACCTCTTCCATCACACGTTCTAGCTATTAGTAGGAAAACAACCTCGCGATATTATGCCTACTCGTTTAGTGCGCGGTGATAGGCTGTGCACAGGTGCGTCCAATGACAACATCCCGTGATTGCAGATTTGAATAAATACTGCCTCATTATGAATCTTGGTCTGTCAGCACACCATCCATGCCCTTTGGTCTCAGATTGTCTCGCATGTTGGAAATTTGAATAAATACTGCCTCATTATGAATCTTGGTTTGTCAGCACAACATCCACGCCATTTGGTCTCAGGTTGTCTCGGGTGTTGAGTCACAATTAACATGCAAAGTCAGCTGAGGAGCTCATATATATATGTATAGTAAGAATGAGGGCTTATGATTATGTGACCTTTCACGCCGTATAGAATCAAGACTCTCGTGACTTTGACATTTTGAATTTGGCCGATGTTTAAGATGGTGGACTGAGACATTATAAATGTACCCACTGTTTTAATAAACCCCAAAGATATTGCTTAAGTATCTCCCTTTGTTTGTTACCCGCAGAACATTTGCACTTACAAGTACGTTGCAGAAGTTATTCAAAGTGAACATATCATTTTAGTTTCAACATTATTAGTAAACACACTATTGTGTCACTGGATTGTCTTGTCCAGACTGTTTTCAGACTGCCTTGGAATGCCGTGTGTGATGTTAGGCAATATACAACCATTTACTTGTTTTATGCAAGTTCTGTGATTGTCGAGTGCTATCGGTGGGGTAAGACATTCTTCCCTTTTCGCAAACTTCTGGTGTTATCACTGATTTCAGTGATCTATTCATATAATTTTCACCACAAATACCTCCTCTCATTACAATGTGCATATTACGCCGGTACTCAGTTGAAGACATAACAATTGAACCTGTCAATAAACTTGATCACTCTGCCGTCTTCCTCTTTATCTAGATATTTTCTTAGCTCATAAACTGATCTACAATTTTTCTTGAACAAGTTCATGAGCTTACTTTATGTGATTTTAATGAACAGCTCATGCTTTTAACGTTAACAGAGCCAGAACCCCACAATGCCATGCCAGGAATATTTCTGCTCAAGAACATCACCTGCACACACATGTTTCATGCGCTCACATGGACGATGTCACAGTGCAAGAGGAATGGTCACACCTAGACTGACGTGTCTAGACCTGCTTCTGGAGCGGTAGCACGATCACGAAGACCCTCTTGATCAGCCATCAACTATGTGCAAGTTCCATCTGGGAGAGGAGAAGAACTTCCGACTTGGCACCATGGGGGCTACATGTGAGCATTGGCCTCTTTATAGGAACTCACCCAGTTCTTAATCGACTTCCCAAAATGAGGTTTATCAATTGTACTGTGAGCTGTAATGGAAGCACAAGCCTAAGAATGTGCTATAGGCTTCGGACACAACAGACAATTCAGACGGAAAGTCATGCATCTGATATTTCCTCACTCACTCACGCCTAAGATTGAAGCACAAAGCTTTTCAGGTCCCTGCCAGACTTTATTGCCAAGAATTAGTCATCAGGCACAGACATTACACTATCGCCTGTGGATTATCCAGACAGACCATTGTGTCCTATCACAGCTCTGAAATATTGCATCACATCTAACCAAACTCACAGTAAACAACGCTTTATCTCTTGAAAGCCTTCATCAGAAAGGGATATAACAAAGGCTTCAGTGGCAGGATGGCTTAGAGGAGATCTATTTAGTCAAACTTATTTAAACATTTCAATAATTGTACAAAGTACATATTTACACCTAAAAAGGTCGTATGTGGTTTCCTTGATATCTAACACAATACCTCATCTCATGTAGATTAATGCACTGTAAACAAAGGGGCGGCGAAAAGCCGGGATTTCGATATGCACACTAAAACGAAATTGTCGCATTAAATATGCCCTTCGATATGTGCCGTATTTTGGTCAAAACAGTGCGTGTTCAGTACTTGAAATAATTATCCACCTTGATAACAAATGGCATGACTCAGTGGAGGATTTTGCATACAAGCATCGGACCACTTCCTTGTCCGACGTCACGTTTTATTGAATTCAAAGAAACTGGTTTTAATAAAAGCAGAAAACATGTCACCAAATATGGCTGGCAGTTATGTTAAATGTATTGAGTATGTGAAACTTCTGAAACACATTTTAATGGCATAACACTTTAAGGAATCTTTCAAAGTTGCCCGAAAACACTTAAGACACTGCTTATTACTGTCTACAAACTGAACAATTAGGGGAATGATGTTGGATGATATATGAAATCTCCCCCTCGTGTCTTTTGATATCACGCTTCATAGTTTTTCCACTTTTATCAACTTGTGTTGATATGTTTGATATCAGGTGAAATTCTCTGTGTAGCAACGACCGCCTGCGTGGTCTTGTGGTAGAGCGTCCGCGGCCGCGTCATACCAAAAGACGTTAAAAAACTGTACATGTTACCTTGTCTGACGCTCGGCATTATGGGGCTAAAACAAGGACTGGTCGGCTCGGAGTCAGTATGCTGTGTCTGAGTTGGGTATTCACGTTGAACTGTGGCATGATCGCAGTGGGCTGGCACAATAAATCGGCATCATGCACGTCGCAATATAAGTGCAATAAGTGCAATAATCTTGGACGCGACGTAGAAAAACCCAATTTCACCTCACCTCACCTCTATGTAGCAGCACTCTGCTTCCATATGCTCTAGTGAACCGATGATGTACATGCTCTTCAATATTGTATGAAGTCCGACAAGTAGTACCAGGGGTTACCGCATGGACAGGTGCCAGATGCATGTGCAATACGTCAGAGAGGGTTTGTGTATGAGGCAAATTCAAATTCGTTTCCCTGTTTTGTTATAGCATAACTCATATAATCTTATTCTATCAAAGTTCATTTAACATTTCGAAAGACATGATGTTGTAAATCTTTGTAAAATTGTTTGTACTTTAAAAGTCATATTTGTTCAAATGTTATGTCCCAAGTTGACGATTAATAGCATTTTACAAGTTAAGACAATCACAAATTTTCGACACAAAATCCCAGAAATCGTTTCCTTTAAGTATTTCACAGTCTTCAGTTGAAAATTAATAAACATGATCTAACCTTATTTAACTTTTTTTTTCGGCAATATTTTATTACTCCCCTCCATCTCCACCCTCAAAATATAATTATTGTCCCTCAAACCTGACCTGTCCTGACCTCTACCCATGTGACAAAACGCTGTCATTGTCTTGTCATTCAACTTACTGTTTCTTATAGTTGTCTCTTTGTCTAGCCAATGACAGGGATGGTCAGCAGATCTTTATTTATTTAGAGAGACTGTCTCTCATCAATTGAGTATACATACCATATTTTCTCGCGTATAATGACACAAAGTTGTGTGAAGCGGGGTGCGCATAATCCTTGTCATAATGAGCAAAGACAGTGAGCTCGTGACTCCAGGAATACCATGTCAACAAATCCGTACTGAAGTACACAATTTTAATATCATGTCATGGTAATAAAGACGTGCTCATTGTATATCTGGACGTGTAATCTATTTTGTTAAGATATTAATTCAATGTTTAATACATTAATTTCGGTGAAATCATGCGAGAAGTGATCGGCACATAACTCATCGTTATCTGAAGCAACCACAGTCAGATTAGCGCTATTGATGCCTTGAAACAAACCAGAGGTGACGGAGAAGGGATACACATATCATAAATGCCATATTTCTACAAAAACATCCAGCGGTGGTATAAGAGCAGAACCAAGTGCAAATAAATTATATATGTTCATCAAGACATCTGAAAGCTGGTTAACTATTATCAGGATTATGCAAAACGATTTTGATGTGCTCCTCTTCTCCTCTTCTCCCTTGTCGAACATTGGCTCATTGGTCTAAACTGGTCATCGAAAACAAGATTCACCTTAATTGTTTATGTAGCAGGGAAATATGGTAAGTAAATCAGAATAATACAACAATTGTCGTTTCATTTGACTTAATTGTCAGAAAGCTGGGGCAGGTACTGTCCACACCAATAACATAAGCACACGCCTTTTACTTTGCGACAGTGTCATAGGATCTGCAGTTGGAAAAATTCAGAATGGTTAACCATTTCTTTCACCAAAACGTTCTCCAAAGAAATCCCAGGATATATTATTGTTGAATGTTCAGAAGATGTATGTGGTGAATGCATGACACAAAATAAAGTGTAAATGTAACTGTAATATGGTTGTTTAGGACTTCATGATACTGTGTATTGTGAAGTGGACCAATAAAGAGAGAAGGTTACCCTACACTTGTCTTCCAAATTTATACGTTCAGGTTTGTTATCGTTGGAGAATTTGAAAACCATATTATATTTTTGTAAGCAATTATGACCAAAGTTAAAGGTAACTAAAACTGTACATTTATGTTGTTCTCAATAGCACACAGCAATTTGATTTTGAGCGAAATATGATTTTCGGTGGCTATTTTTGGCATTCTGATAAGAAGCATGTGTTTTTGTCCTCCAAATTGAAAGTCGTGCAGTTGTTGTGCCACTCTGAGAGTATCAACAGGACATTCTCTTATCATTGCAATCACCGGCAAGGGAAATACCAAATTATCCTGAATATTTGTTTGCTGAAATATGGTAAGACTTTCCTCTTTCCTCATTGACAAATGGTAGACAAAGAGCAGCAACAACTTCCCCGAAGCAACAGTTGACATTATGTTACGTTTGATTAAGATTTTGTGATAAGAATAGTATTCACAAACAATAATCAATGTACATTGTTTTCCTTCTTTTTCTTCCTCGTGTACAATTTACATTGATATTAAAGGTCACTTTCAGTTACTGTTTGTGTTGAAAGGAGTAAAGTACGCCAAAAAGATTGTTGAATATTTTATTATTTCAGAGCGATTAAGGTTGTTTTACCAATTTCAAAATCCAAAATGGGATAGAATTTAAACAAAAAAGACGGGAAGAGTCTCAATCGAAGAACAAAGTGAATGAATTAAGA